CCGAAAAAGAAGAGGAACATCTGGCAACAGTTCGGTCGAAGAAAGACCACCGACATGCTGCCGTCCAACTACAACGCTCCGTCGACATCAGTCAACGGCGGAGGCGACGAAAGTCCGTACCTGAAGCGAGCGAATTCACCGATTGGTAAAATCAAGGGCTTCTTCTCGAACTGTACCACTTGGCGAAATCCAGACGACAAGTCTTCTAGCATCGTCAGCTTCCGCGGAGGATCGGCAACGACGAATTATCAGCCGCCCCACGACAGCGCGTCCTACAGCGTCAACAACAAGTCTTCGTACAAAACTTTTTACCGCAAGGCCCCTCGACCTCTTTCGTATGTGCCCCCCGTAAGACACCGGTATGACGAATCTACTCTTTACTAGACCGCTTATATGCTCAGGGCTGCCGTCCATTGCTTTTTTGCGTTTCAAACAGGTGTCTTATGTGCAATAGTCTTTGAGCTACTCTGAGTGATATGTTTTGATAAATCTATTTTTCTATATATTTTTTTGCGCACACAAACTATGTCGATAATCTGCATGTAAATATGCAAAAATAATAACCTAGAAACTTTTCAAAGCTATAACCACGGGGAACAAATTTGACCATAAAAACACGGGATCCATGGTTGTTTAAGTTCACAAAAAGACAGAACATAATATTCGTTCTGCGCTACTTGTGAAGCCCCTGATCACGCAGTTGTTTCGCATTTGTCTTGCGGAAAATAGCAGACTCACTGACTGTCAAGCACAAAAAATTGCTTCATGTTTCTTTTACCTTTAAAACAAATCGCACAAATCGTTGCACTTACGCTAGTCCGCTTCCTCTGTAATCTGACAATTGTACATGACTGACTATGGAATTCATAAATGCCCCCCTCCCAGCTACTAGAAGCAGACCCCCAATGCAGCCGCTATGTAAGAATCCAGAGAAATGACAGGAGAGCGTACATGACTACCTCAAAGTATTCCTTATTCTTGTTCTACACAGAAAGGAATCCAGCGATGAAGGTTAGAACGTCGGTAAGTATATTAGGCGGTCGAAAGAGGAAGAAATAGCAATTGAAAGAAAATCACTGAAAATGTGAACATATATTAAGTGTTGATGTGTTGTAGATGCACAGTAATGTATTAAAATCATCTGTATATTTTCGGCCAGCAAGTATAACCACTAATAGCCACAACACCTGAGAATGCTGGTACATGAAAAGTCGCTAACATGGGGATTTTCTGCCAGATGAAGCTATTATAGCAAGGTGAGTATAATGTGCCGTTTCATTCTTTCACTGACAAAGACATGGTAGGATAGATTTCAATTATATCCAAGTTTTAAACTTCGAAGTGCTACAGTGGGTCTTATTGCCTCTTCAATTTCTTTATTCTCCCGTGATCCTCATCTTTGTGTGACTTGGAATTCGCAGTTCAGAGTGAAAACAACATTAATAATATATTCAACACTCTTTCTTTGTAAATTATTAGGATAACATTGTCCTTGTTGACTCCACATTCACAATAACATTAAAGTAGGGTCTTTTCCAATAACACAGAAAAGTAAAATTACGAACGTTGACAAGAAACTCTCACTCGTTTCCTCATGATCTTGTCCCATCGTATCAGTTACAATGTAGAACAACGATGACCCTTGACGATTTTTACATGGCTTGGTACCAAATGGAGTCCTTCCTTGTTTAATCTTTAAAGGTTAGACGAATGAAAGATCGCTTTAAAATGAATCTGATTTATTAAGCATATAATGGTACACAATATTAAAAAGAGGTGGTTTGAATGAACAGCACTTTCGCTACTTTGAAACTGCAAGCCCCTAAAATGTAGATAGTAAAGAGAATAGCGCATTATTCTCCAACATACCTGAATAAGTATTGCACCGATTTGGCTATACGCCTAATATTTGATTTGGGCATAACTACTGTAAAAGATAGACGAATGCCATGATTTCACGCTATTCATGAAATTACACTGGGCCATATTTGAATTGCTTAATTTATATTACAAATAAAGCCATTTTCAATCTTGAGAATTGACCGTATCAGAGGAACTAATGTTTGAACTGGTATCACAGTCGTTTTTGAAGAGGACAGATAGTTGCTCTGGTATAAAAATCTATGCTCACAATTAAATGGCGATAAATAAATCTGAAATATTCAAAGTGGATAAAAAATTCGTCGTCACTCTTTTGTAGTCATATTCTTGTTGCTTGCCTTTTCGATTATCATTGCTATGCGTATGCCAGTTTGTATTCAGATGAATGACCGACAGGAAGAATGAACGGCACGTTCAGTACTTCACAATGATCTGAAGCGCGTTGCTGTGAAATTTTCTGTGAACTGACGGACGGATTTTGCATTAAACTTTCGCAAGCATAATACAGTGATTCCTTGATGTTTCTTTGCTATCTATGAAATCATACACGATTTAATCTGTTCACTTTAAATGTAGCATTTTTTAAATTAATGTTTCACCGTGAGTTGAAAACACTGCAGTCGTGTACGGTAGATATGTCTAAATGCATCATGAGTAAGCATGCTTATAGCCGGACCAGAGCAGTGCACGGTTCAGCCTCTGACAATCTATCGACTTTCGTGTGTGGTGATCCAGTTTTCAAAGAAATGAAATTTGTTTTGAACTTTTGATATCGTTCTTCTAAATATATTTAGGTGTTAAGGGCATCTTTTCAAGTTAAGTACTAGGGGTTGCTTGAACCTGCATCTGAGATCATACAAAATTCAGTGTAAGAGCGGCCTAATTATGTATAACGTTGAAAAGGTAGGTCCGTCGTAAAATTAACCGCTGTCTACGATTCGATCGTATGTCATGACCCTTCTTCAAGATGTGCTGTTCATCGATTGGCCTCAATCTGTTTGTCTGCACTATCTGTTGAGGTCGGCCTGTGAGATTACACATTTTCTGCCAACACCACAGTTTATGAGATACAAGTAATTACGTTCACACATCGTTTGAAACAGTTTTGAATTTTGACACGTATTTTTATGCAATCAGCTCGCTAGGATGAGCCGCAAGGTTTTTGCTGCCACTGTTCTTGATCCGATCACGGGCAGGATTTAAACTAAGCAAATTAAAGAATTAAGTGAATAATCCACATGAATCAATTAATATTTCTAAACTTTAATTCAAAAGCGATACCTTGGTTTCCTACCAAACGAAGTTTTAAGTATGCCTGTTGATTTGATAGATATAACACTTTTCAAAGTGGTATATATTCTTCCAAAAATGTTTTCTAACAATTCTCGAATAAAAGTTCATTTATTTTTTAAAAAACTGTGGCGATCGCATACGTCCTATTGAAGTGTTGCTTAGAGGAACATCTGGTTTTCTACTGTAAAGCTTCCTAAAGCTGCTATCTCAGTAGGAAAAAACGGCTGACGTTGAACAGTGAACATGAATTTTACCGCTTGAGTGGCACTACCGATGAATACCTTTATTTTCTAAACGGAAAACTAAACAGAAAACATCATGGATCGCATAGGAAAACGAAGAAATCACAGAAAGAGAAAATTTGCTGCATTTTATGATATCATGGTCAGTAATTTAACAAGAGGCCACGAAGGGGACATGACAAATCTGTGGCAACGCAGAGCAGGGGGACGAAGCCATATTATATTTACCATAGTCAAGTAGAGCGCTCTAACGAGCTGGGAACCCTTAAGAATC